TCAGCAAGGTGTATTCTGCAGTTCCTCCTGAAATTCGAACCCGCGTCACCCAATGCCGCCTGCAGTCAGAGACGTTACCACTACTGAGCAGCTATTCTGGCTCGTGACTGACCTCATGTAGGACTGTATTGGATATTTTTGATTGGACACTAGTTAGTAACTAGTGTAATGTGTCTAGTCCCATTTTGGTGTAGACTGAATTGGATCAGTCAAATCTGTAATATGGCCACCATTCCTAGGTGGCTCAGAAGGGACATGAGTTGATTCAAGGTGATTGCAGATACGCCAGGCTGACTGGTGAGCGCCAACAAGCATGAAACATAAGTACAAGGCTTCTTACCAATCGCCCCCAACTATTTAATAACAAAAATTCAGGATGTACTGTAGTGGTGAGCCACTTAGAGTGGTGGCCACATTGCAAACCTGACTGATAGAATCTGTCTGCATCAAAGATAGCACTAGACACATTACACTATTTACTGACTAGTGTCCAATCAGAAAAAACCAATCATCCTATTTCAGTAATCCACACTAGTAAGGAAAAAAAGCTTGAAATCTTCAGGTTTCGAAGTAAGCATACTACTTTCCATGGATGACGGTACAGACTACTGATTGATCGATTGATATGGCTAATTGGATACCACCCAGACCAACGAGTAGTGTTCACTAGCCAGGTCGAAGTGATCCAAACAACGGACCACCGTTACACCTGTCTACGCAGAGCTCATATCAGCGATGTGCCCAGTGTAACTCAGCTCAAATAGCTGAATCAGTTGAAATTACTCAATTTCTCGCTGTCTACTTGAGCGAACTGGTAATATACATAGAATCAAATCGGAAATTCATGAATTATGCAGTTGAGTCTGGCTAAGAAGCATTACTGGTCGGTGTGATTGGCAGTACCCAGCTACTCATATCAATCCGTCAGTAGTATATACTATTATGCTATTTGTAGGTTATCAAGTAGACCAAACATTGTGGTCTGAATAATTTCCGTAATTTGTAAACTGAGAACTTGACCAGCTCCAAATAAGTCCGCTGACTTCGTCATATTAAATTGAAGTTGTCAGTCGTATTTTGCATAAGATAACACGACAACTAATCTTGTTAATTAAAAGCAAGCGTGCACGCGGACGAGAGAGTGGCTCAGTTTTGTATGTGAATAATTTCTGCAAAATTGTTTACCTAATCGAAAGTAGTTCTGTAACGACAGAAGACAAGGGTCAGGCAACAGATCGTTTATTGAGAAAATCAACAGATATTTATAGATTTTTATGCACATTATTATTCGTTATTGTTAGCAGAGAAGCAACGTCTTCTGATTGGTTGTTTTCCCGTTGAAGGTTATTCTGTCATCTCTTTGTTGCCGTTTCTTAGTCCGTTGATATATCTGTTAATCGTATCCGCCCACGCTAAGTCTGCTGTGATTGGTTGTTGAGTTCCTCAAGGTTAGGCTTTGTTCTTTTTTTTTCTCATGACCAAGATTTGGGACGTAAACATTGAATTAAATTGCTGTCTACCAATTTTGACAAGCAGACAGCTCTCACCACAGTTCTATTAAAAAATTACCACTAGTTTCACCAGAATTCGCAAAAGATTCTGTTATCATCCCATCATCTTATCACATTCCATAAGTTTTAATACTGATGAAAAACACATTCAGTGGTTAGGAATTTTGGAAACTTTGTGAGATACACAGACCTAATTATCTACATGTCATTTTACATGTCTACTTGTACTTCTCTCACTCCACTTAATGATTTATGAACTGACTTTCTCTCAACCTACTTATGACCTTTGGAATCCTATTGGTTGTTCATTGTCTTAATTCACCAATGACTAGTGCTTCTCAAGGTCATTTTGAACATATATATACGCAAGCGCTGTCAACCCTTTTAGACAGCTGTTTCGAGACAGTAAAAGCTCTCTTACTAACGTCCAGTCTTCTCTTCTGTCTTTGCGTGCGGGCGGCGTTATTGTTGTTGTTGAATTGCGATTAGGACAGATTAGCTAGCGCATTAAACTTAGTATTCGCTGACAGTCTACTAGGTCATAGTTCCGGTCAGAATACTTTGGTTAATAGGACAAATACTGAAGCACCAAGATATGAACAGTACTTTGTATTTGAGAGCACAGTCGTCAGTTGGACTGAAGTTGATGAAGTTTATATTCAATCTCTGAACCAATAAGTTCCGTCTCCAGTCGAATTGATAGATAATCATACTGTAACTGTAGAAGACGAAAAACTTCGTAAAGGATTGTTTATTGGCATTTTGGTATCTCCAAATAGCGGAATTATGTACACCTTATCTTCAACGCACCATCTATGCACAGATCTTCCATGTTGTGCCTGCTACTTCTGGTCTTTCTTTATATTGTGTTTCTTTGTGTTCCTTTCACGTCTCCCATGTATCTATCTCTGCAACGCTGTTGTATCATTTGCTTTTTCTGACTGATGTCAAATCTATCTCCCTGCTATTTGATTTTTTTATGCTGATGAACATCTCTTTATATACTACTGATGCATCTTATCAGTAGCATACGCTACAATATTTCAGCGTTAATGACAGTCTGCCTTTGCCAGCAGGAAACATGTTTTTTCGGTTGAATGAAGATTTGTAGCTCAGATGGTTGGTGTTTTGACAATACACCTGCTAATGGCAAAAACTGTTCAAATATGAAAAAAGTTTATAATGATCGTTCACTTAGACCGTCATATGAAACCAATGAAGGATAGTGAAGAGAAACTAATTACCAAACAGAAGAAGCATAGGAAACAATGGGCTGGTCAGTTCAGAGGACTCTTGAACTGACCACCACGTGCAAGTCGTCCAGAAATATCAGTAACGGCCACAGAAGTGACAATGGGCACCAGTCTCCGACAAAAGCAGAATTCTTGAGTGTCATAAAGTTAGTGTAGGTCAGCAGGTCCAGGTGAAATTCCTCCGGAAGCACTTGAAATGGATCCAGAGACCTCAAGCCATCAGTGCAGAACGTTTGGAAGGAAGGAAAGGTATCTACTAAGTGGAAGTAAGACTACCTTGTCAAACTACCGAAGAAGAGTGCGGAACCATGCTTCTTTACACGCCAAGTAAAATATTAAGTCGCGTAATCATGAAGAGAATATAGGATGTTCTGGATGCAAGCTGGATTGAGGAAAAGCAAATGATGTGAGGCTGCAGTTGTAACGTTAAACATGGGCGCATGTTGGACCGATGGAAAGACCTCAGAAGATCTAGACTTCTCGGATGATTTATGTCTAATGTCACGACACAAACTCGAAGACCTACAGGTGAAAACCAATAAGCACACCGAGGAAACATAGAAGAATGAACTTCAAGTGAGTATAAAGAAGAGGTGGTTGGTGAAAATACCTAGTCAGCTATAACAAGCATCAGTCACTATCGACAGGAGAAATCTAAACGTCTCTCGATTATCTTAGCAGCATCGTTTCAACTACATGTGGCACAAATAAGAATGTTAACAAATATCGGAAAAGCAAGACACGTGTTCATTACTCTGAAATTAGGGGAGGGGGGAATCTGCTGTACTCAGCATACGGAAAAAAATTAGAAATTTCACCACTAATGACAAGTCAGTGTTCCTATGTGTTTCAGAGACTTAGTGTGTGTCATGAAAAGCATTTTGAAGAGGTCGTTGCATACTCTCATCAACAGCTTTCTTCGCTCCAAAATAATAATAATATATTCTGATTTTTGTACATGAAGGACGCCACTTTACAGGCATCATCAATATGATAAATTATATACACGATTAGTAAGCATATTTAGTAATGATAATATAATAAAGTACATATTTATTCCTACGTATGTAGGACACACCAGTTGTACAGGCATGGATAAGTATTATTTAAATTACGTAAATTTAACTTGTGGTTAAGTTAAATGTCTTTAGTTTGTGGGAACAATCTGATACCTAGTGATTCAATGGACCACATCAAAAAATATAGAGATATTGACTTCGAATTAACAACAAAAAACAACCTAAGTATGTGTTGGATGGATTACAAATACTTGGAGAAAAAAATAAAGCTCGAAGTCATTTCCGTCATATAACAACCAAATGCATCTTATAATAATATATTCTCACTTTATGTACACGAGGGATTCCAGCTGACAGGCATCATTAATATGATAATAATGTATACATGGAGTAAGCATGTTTACAGTTTTTCACTGACACAGGATATATGTATATAAGGAAAGGTAATGGAGTAATGACAGCAAGCACACTTTACATAAGTTAAAACAATTAGACATCAGTTATCCGCGAAGTCCAGAATGGTAAGAAAGGATAAGGTATTAAACAACTCTGGGAACAAACCAACCAAGAACCTATCGCCCGAAAAATAAAATGGAAACGGATTAGACACACGCTAGGGAGACCGCTCAGTAACATAACACGCTAGGCTTCGAGTGAAAACCGAATAGGAAGCAACATTTTGAGCATCAGTCAGAGGGTAACATGCAGGAAATATTGTGAGGAGAGAAAGAAAGCTTACGGGTGATCGGGGAGCCAGCTATAGAGATGTGCTGCTGAAGCCCTATTGTGGCGAGTGCTACTGATAATATTTACCAGTAGTATATAAAGAAACATTCATCGGCCGGCATAAAAACATCAAAATAGCAGGGAGATAAATTTGACGTCAGTCAGAGAAAGCAAATGATTCAGCAGCGTTGCGGAAATAGATACATGGGAGACGTGAAAGGAACACAAAGAAACACGATATGAAGGAAGGCCAGAAGTAGCAGGCACAACATGGAAGATCTGTGCACAAATGGTGATTTGAAGATAAGGTATACATAATTTGGCTATATAGAAATACCACCTCACTATGTTCCACTCTGAACCTAAGGGAATGATCAGAAGAATAATAAAAAGGATACCCACATATCTGTTAATTGCATAAACGAACTTCTTACTCAACTTACTTATTCCTACAAGCTATTGAGTTATGCGAATTGGTATTCTCAGTACACATGACTGATTCATCGGGAGTTGGATGTAATTTTTCTACAAGAGTAGTGCTGCATGTTGAAAATTGATCAGATTTATCCGTGACAGTGTGACCAACTGTTGAGCTAATAGATGATTTACTTGAAATGCTTGTATTTTCAGAGAGATTTGATAAACCATTACTTTTGGAATGATCAGGCAGCTGTAGACTTTTGATTGATTTCGATTTTTGAAAGTGCTTTTCAGCTTCAGCTAACAATAAGAAACATTAACAAATAAGGTAATTAATTGTCAAGTATTGGCTTTGTAGGGATTTTTTGTTTGTTTGATTGGTTGGAGGATTTCACCATAAGTTG